TTGGTACATACGTATATACAGTATATAAATATCTTAAAATAATGCATGCATGTATAAATAAATTATGTAGGAGATATAATTCTCATTTAAGTATGAAGTCAACAACATCCCAGAAATCTAGTCCGCAGAGTACGGAATGACCTTTTGTTTATCCTGACAAGTCTAGTTGACAGCAAAGAATCCTTTCTGATATAAAATATGTATAAACAACAGTTTTACTATGGTTATTTTTAAACACCCTGTTGAATCTGCATTAAACAGCAGCCTCAGGCCTATGAATGTGGATAATCAAAACCAAGATGACAATTATTAAACAAGACCAAAGCTCTGACTGCGCCTAAGGCTGCTAAGCTCATTACAAGTAAGCAAGCATGCTGAATGGAGACATAACACTGAAACAAAGTCTTGGACCAAAAGGACCAAAGGGACTGATCCCTAAAGCTACACCGCTAGTATGGCTAAAAAGACATACAATATGGAGTCAAGCTATGGAAGCAAATGAACCAGTCCTGAGTCCTGACCTGAACTCTGTTTTCAACTTCCAATTACGGTCAAGTCAGAGAAAATGTCAGATGGCAGGATATACATGAGGTTCCTCCTATTATGGGCATTCCAAATATGCAAGTAGGGAGTGTTTATATTTTAAAAAATTTATGAGCTAATTACCTCGAATATGTTTATATATCTCTGTCTGTGTAGTGTAAGCACATGTAATCTCATCAACCCACATACAGAAGGAGAAACAGTGAAGCTGGCTGTAGCTAAAAACAAAGAAACTCACTGCCACACTCCGTTCATCATTAATGGCCTAACTGACCTTCTTTATATTTGAAAAGTGGGTCGTGTGCTAGAAGCCTTTGGCCTTCGATCAAAATTCCTGGTATACTCGTACAGTGTATGCATTGAGTCTAAAGGCTGTTCAAGTCTCAAGAGAACAGCATTACTATACGGCTATTCATTCGGTGCAATTATAAGAGTTTATTTTTCTTTTTTTGGAAAAAGGAACCAATTTTTTTAGTACTTCATGTGGTTGAAAATTCTAGCAGCAAAACTATTTTAGCTTTTCTAGCTTGTTGAGAGAACTAATCTACAGCCACATGCAGCAGTAGTGCAGAGTCTGGCTGGTGGTTTCTTTGTTGATTTTGGCCTCCTTCCAGTGACAGTGGTGTCTGATTTTATGCTGTGTATCAACTCACTGGTAACAGTTGTTATGGAAGCGGTTATAACTGCCCAATGCGGTCAGGGCACCCAGTCCAATGGCATAGGAGAAGAAAATCTGCGTGCCAGCATCAATCCACACCTACCAAAAAACGGAAATATTTCATAATCTTTTGTCCTACATGTCTTAGATGTTGAAGGACAAATCTGCCATATGTTTTAGCCACTACACTGCTATAGGTAATTATGAACTGATAATGCAAAATGCAAGTGGATGCAAGAGTTAAACCTGTGCTTCTCCAAGTTTGGACCAGTCTGGTTTCAGGTAGTAAACAATCCCATCTAAAGCGCCAGGTAAAGTAACTCCGTGGGCCAGAAAAACAATCAGAACCAGGTAAGGGAACAGAGCTGTAAAGTACACAACCTACAGAAAAATGGAAAAAGAAAACTGTGAAGTACATTTCTAGACACCATAGGACCAATTAGCATGGGGGTAGTTTGAGTGCTTTGTAATAAGTAGAAAAAAAAATCATAGAAAACATTATAATCCCTGACATTACATGAAGTGTGTACATGAAAAGATGTAATTTTATGATGAATTTAACAGGCTAGCTTTAAACGTTTAGTGCTTATCAACATGGTCCATTGGTTAAGGTCAAATGTTTCAACTGAACGGCCATCTATGTATGTTTTTATTACTTTGATTAAGCAATTACCTGCTTTGCAAATACTCAAGTCTTAAGTAGAAGCCCATTAGGTCCTTCCTGTAGTAGCTGTGTAATGGGCCCTGTCATGTTACTTTGAAGAAAAGGTAGCCTGTAAATGGAAAGCCAGAAAATTTGTAAACCTCCTGCAATAGCAGGGGTTTTTGGCAGACCTTTTCAGAAGATAGTCTTTGTCAAGTTATGCTGAGAAAGCCACCCCCACTACCTGGCAGAAGCATCAAGCTAAATAAATATGGTAAGAGCAAAGTAGTGAGAAAGCACATATTTGCCTTGAACAGGGCAGAAAAGCCCCTTTTCAGCTCTGAAACATCTATAGTACATGGTGGAAAGTTACTAATCGGCTTACAGCTGGCTGGCTGGATCAGTCTCCTTGGTTATTTTTCCCCTCACTCTGAGCTTTGGCTACTCTGGAGACAAGTATGCAAACATAGACATCTCCATTTTTTTTTATACTGCTAAATGTAAGTCACTCTAAACAATGTATATCTAGAGTATATAGTAATATAATAAGGATCTGGAGATCAGTGGAAGATTATAGCCTAGTGAAACAAGCTGCTCATATGCATAAATATAAATTAAAATTTAGAAATGTGAGAAGACAGGAAAAAAGCAACTACACAGATCAGCAGAATACATAATATTTGTTTTCATATGTGGTTCAGTCTAAACACTGATCCTCTCACTATACATACAGTATATATTTGGGGTTAATGGGCAAAATGCTGTAATTGTTTAAATCACATGCAAATAACAGTCTGCACTCTGTGAACCCTGACAGTGACAAGTAACATGTTACATATAGTGTACATAAGCCATAGAAATTCATCTGTAATCATTAGCCCCAGTGACATATGGACATAAGCATCATAAACTGCACAGCCAGAAAATATTTTACCTTGCCAGTAGATTTAACTCCTTTCCACATGCAAAAGTAAACAATGAGCCATGTGACTATGAGACACAGCACCATCTCGTAGCTGATGTCACCAGGCTCGTGCAGTCCACCAGACAGACGGAGCACTTTTCGCCTAGGAGGGAGAACACAGACGTGCCCATTAGAAAAATGAAAGGTTTGCTTAAAGACACTATCATTGTCGCCTCCCTGTCACCACTGCCTGAACTTTACTCTGCACAAATGTAACACATACACACACTTTACTATCTATCTCACTTGCTTTATAGAAATGATTACTATTACTGAACACACCAAAGGCATATTTGAAGACAAAGTACATAAATGAATATGCTGAAGTACATTTAGGCCCATTGTAAATATCAGATACCAGTAAAAGTATAAAGAAGGTCAATAACAGGCATAAAAAAAAACATCAGGATGATCAGAATAAAGGTCTTCATAACTGGAATCTGTGGCATATAGTGCACAAACACAGGAAAATCCCTAAAATTCAATTTGGCAGCATTAGTTTGTTCCAATCATTATGGCTTTGAGCTTAAATAATAAAATGTTTTTTTTAGGCATGCTGACATGCTGCTCAATTCCCAGACAAGGTACTGTATGACATACTCCCAGAACTCGATGACTGGGGAGCGCATGCCCTCAACCTCCATGCAGCTGCCATTGATGAGGAACTGAGCTGAAGACAGGTTCACTGGGGACGCAGAGGAAAGGACATTGGAGGGGGTGGCAGCAGATGGCGGAAGAGGCGGCTGGGCTGCACTGCGGTTGTAGCAGGTGTGGCGGAAATCCTGTGTACAGTTGGGGGTGTTCCAGGGATGTCCACAGGTGGCCCAGGGCAGTGGGCTGGTGAAGGAGTGGAAAAAAAAGTAGAGGCCCCACACCAGAATCATGATGTAGTATGTGTTACAGAAGAACACTATCACCATTGAGGCCAAGCCCAGACCTGTCAGAGAGGGAGAGGGAGGCAGAAGAGGTGTGCAGGGATGTACTGTATTTTCTAAATCAGAGAAATACTAATATATTCTCGATGTGTCTAACATACAGTACGTGCAGACATACCTTTAAAGAGGGGTGCGATGTTCCACGCAGAGACCCCTCCCTGCTTCATGAACTGTCCCAGTGCAATCTCCAGGAAAAAAACTGGGATGCCCCCGATGAAGACGATCAGCAAGTAGGGGATCAGGAAAACTCCTGCAACACACAACACACATAATCATTACATGGTCTGCTGAACACTGCTTAACTGAAGTAACAGCAGGTAGAAACATATTATAATATGGCTGGACTGACTGCATGGACATTCACAATACCTCTAAATCAATGATTAACTCAGATCCAAAGTAAAGTATTGGCAAGGTTTGGATATCAGTAGGACATATTTTACTACAGAATTTGAGTGGTTTATGGTCCTCTTAGGGAGTGGCATGGTGGCGCAGTGCTTAGCACAGTCGCCTCACAGAAGGACAGCACTGATACGCAATAGACAGACAAGGCTAAAACATAAATCTTGGAAAATTAAAAGGACGGACAGAGAGAAAGAAAGAGCATGAGAAAGATATTTACAAATGTAAACAGAGTATTACCATAGTAATCACTGAATGACTTCAAGTCTTGGGCTAATTATTTCATTAACATTATAGAAAGCTATTCATTTAAACTAATAGTGCCTTTTAATCATTTAATTTTTGGAACCGAGTCCTGCTTTTGGAAGCCATGTTATACGAACAACACAACACAAAAATCTGAAGCAAAAGCCATGTTTACAGGTTTTAAGGACACAAACTGCACAAACACAGGTGGGGCTCTGACTAGTCAAGCACTCGACACAACAAGATAGAGTTGAGAGGAGTAGGAAGAAACAAAGGGCAAAAGAGTGAAAGCCAGGAAGGAGAACAAACAAGGTCACAGATTAGAGCTGCACGGAAACTTTCTGTAGGAGATCACTGCATTGTCTCCCATTCCACAAGTGTTTGGATATTTTTGTCAAGCATTGTTGTGAAGAGGCCACTGGAAGTATCAAAGTGAGAAGGGGACAAGGAAAATGGACTCCAACAAGAGTGATGAGTCCTAATAGAGACATCTTGGACTCGTTTCATTTTGATTAGGAGTAAATGGTCCAGGACAATTGGTTTATGCTGTGTTTCCTAAAAATAATCCCCTTTTGGATTCTGTAGCAGTAGCTTGCTGTGATCAGGAATAAATAGTAGAGAAGAAAGCCAGCAACATGAGACATTTAACTCACTAAATACAATTGCAATGATTTGATTTGAATAACAATGCACAGTAGCTGGATGACAGCACCACAGTGCGCAGATGGGAGGGAGTCACATGACCAGCTATGACGCAAAGCAGAGAGAGGCTGAGAAGAAAGGAGGTAAAGATGGATAGATCAGATGAGAGCGAGGCAGAAAAACTGGAACAGCACTGTGGTAGAGGAGGTTTAACAAATACAAAAAGGACACACCGAGGCATCGACCTGGTCGTCTCTGCACCGACGCTAATGATTAACAATTGCTGCCTCATTCAGTCCATCATTCTTTATGTCATTCTCTGAGAGCAGAGGGCTATAGCCTTAAAAGGAAACATTCGTGAGCGCTAGTCTAAGAGAAAAGGGGGAGGGAGATAAAGAGACACACGGTTGGGGGGGATGCAATAGGAGGCGTGAATGGAATGACTGGAGAAAATGCGTGTGCTGGCATACCCCAGCGTATTGGCCAAATCATCAAGGAACTGCATCTCTAATAGGCTTAAGATAATCCTTTCTAATCATAACAGGACCAGACACATCGGGCCCAGCAGCTGGGGTACAATCAATCAATAAATAAAGAAATAAATGAATGAATGAATGAATAAGACATGTCGAGCAGTATTTCCATGGTATATTCAGTATATTTATCTATTACTGTCTCAAATGGAGTGTGTTCTTGATTCAGTAACAAGCAGGTCTGACTGCAAAAACGAGGCTCTTATTTGATACAGTTGTTCTGTTACAAGGTGTACTCTGTTGGATAAGGACATCAAATTAAGAACTGGAGTGGATGTGACTGTGCTGACACTGAGGGGAGGAAAGGACAGGCACAGTCACAAGACAATTATTGTGTGAAACATCCATATGCCTCTTTATCGGGAGGACAGTGGGACAGAGCACCTTTGTATGCTACATCAGCACTGGGCAGGAGCACAGGGGTGGACTGTGTGAGTCAGGCCATTGTTATACGATACCAGAAGGAGGGTATCAGAGCCACAGGTCACAAGGCGCACATGAGGGAGAGGGAGGGCTGGACTAAGAAACACACATGCAGACACGTACGCACAATCGGTATAATTTTAACAACGAAAAAAACACATCATAAAAAAAAACATAAAAGTGGGTTGGGCAGAGATAAGAGAAGTTAATGGCCAACGCTGCAGCCAGGACAGGTTACTATTGGACAGGGTGGCACAGATGGAAAAGGAAATGATGCAGGTAATAGCATTAAAAAACCCATATGTCTACAGAAGCACTGTAGGGTAACTTCCACTATTTGCTGTGGCAAACAAAGTAAAGTCACGGGGCTAGGAATTGCTCTGCAGGTACAGCACGTGCTCAAAGCCCTGCAGGCCCTGCTTGGTCTACCTATTTTGTCCAGGGTTTTTCCCTGCCATAGAAAGGCTTAGGCTCAGCACCTAAGTGTTTCCGCAGAGCACTGTAAAAGTGAACATAAAAAGGCCTTTAGGCAACATATCAGTATGAACACTACAAACAACAGGGAGAATTCCATGTGATGACAAAAATGCATGGACTTTTGACTATATGCACAGTAAGTGATGCCAGCTTTCTTTCATAAATATTTTAAGTATAGTTGCCCAAAAAGGCAGGTGGCAAATGACAATGGGCTTGTTGCTCCTGGACATTTGTCAAACACCAGAGCATCACATGCTGCTGCAGTAGTTTGCAGAGACCCGATACAGTTTTTTCAGACTCCAGGTGCCTTGGCAGGATGCAGTGTTGAGGTCTGGCCAAATAAACTAAAGTGTAACTGTAGCAGATAACCAACATGGTCAGTGTTTTGAATATAAACCAAACTTCGCTCTATGTTTTTCTAAATGTAAAGGTTTTTTTGAACAAAACAAACAAAAGTAAAAAAAATCTACTATAGTCTATCAGGTCATTTAATATAGGCTATATAATTATATATTAAAATTCAGATTCATCTGTTGTAAAAACAAGTAATACTAAATAAAACAATTCTAATGAACTACATTCCCTTTCATAGCAAATAATTTCAAATACCTTCTCACAGGTGAACAGAGTAATTCATTTGGTTCTACTTTAGTGTACCGTACATGTAAAAAGGTGAACAAAGCATAATCATTTCACAATGTCAGAAGAAAACAAATCAAAACTGAATACAAAATACAAATACAAAATGAATTTTCTAAAAGTAAAATTGAAGCGGTTTTGAACTGTTATACAAAACTACTGGGAGCGTGTGGAGCGGGTATCCACAAGCACAGCGAAGACTTTGAATTTTGCTTCGAAATTTTTTGCCTCCATGCATTCTGGTGGAAGTCGTGGCAAAGAGTCTGCAACAGCCAGTGCAAAAGGTGCATATTCATCATTGCTTCGACTGTTAGTGGGACCCAACTGCAATATCACTGTAATATAGGTTTGAAGCTGCTCCCAGTGTAGCGTGAGAGTAATGTCCACTATCTTGTCCCTCTCATCTTCTTCCTTCTCTCTCCTGAGGACTGGTGCCGTTATGGACGACACAGTATATACACTGGATGGACCCTCATCATCATCATCATCATCATCACTGCTGTGTGGTGGGAGGACACTTGGTCTGGATGATCTGATGACCTTTATATATTTCCTCACTTTGTCTGCAAGTCTCTCCTCTAGCTGCTCCATATAGCTGCTCTATATTCAAATGTGCCTTCCACCTAGTGGAACATGAAGTTGGATCAACCAATCGGTGTGCAGGATCCGCTCAACGTGTAGTTGAGATTTGGGAGATCTGCATGATGGATTGTCTGCAACCATCAGCAAACTACATTTACCCATAAACCCCTCTGCCACGTAGGTACGCATTGACGGCATTAAAGTGAAATTTCTCATATAGTTACTGTAATACAGAGAACCACATTACACAGTGCTCCTGAAACTAACCTCCTCCGTTCTTGTAGCAGAGATAAGGAAACCGCCAAATGTTGCCCAAGCCAACAGCAAAACCCACGCAGGACATGATGAAGTCCATCTGTCTGGTCCATGTTTCTCTCTCTACCCCTGGTACTACTGCTGCCCCATTTCCAGTCCCCGCTGCACCCCAGTCCTGGGTCTGCGGTGGGCCAGCTCCTCCGCCCTCACCACACCCTGGGCCTGATCCAGATACAGGCACCAAGGGACGAGCTGACCCCCCGCCCTCCTCCTCGGACAGGGTCCCTGCCTCCATCTGGGGGAGACTGATGTCATCTAGACAAGAAAAGACATGAAAGGGTCAGGTAAGAGGAAAAGAAATACAAAACCAGAGGAAGAAAGGAGATGCCTGAGTGCCTCTAATAAAATATCTAAAATATACCCATTCCCAACTTCACTTCACATGACAGCACTGGAGAAAGATGAACCAATCTCTTGTGCCAGACTTGACCTAAATGGCCAAGGGAGTTTTCAAGTGCAAATTTTCTACTCACTGCAATAAGGTATCAGTACAAACAAAGCCAATTATTACAAACCTCAACTAAACCATCACAGGCCTAAAATGCATCTCAGCATATTTGTTGTGTTTTTCTGTGCAAAGTGTCCTTGTACAGTTAAGTACAGTAGGGCTGGAATCGTATTGCTGTTTTATTGCCATCACTAGGCCATCACCCAACGTTCATCTCTCTGTCTCACACAGAGTGATTAGTGTGCTGCCGTGCAAACACAGCAGAAAGCCGGTTCAAGGTAGCATAGCTTTCGTTTTCTCTGTTTCATAGGCACAGTACTGAACAAATGCATGCACATGCTCAAACACAAGTAGAAACGCTGTGTCACTTCATTAGTATCATTCCATGATATCAGTGTCAGTCGCTCTGTACTGGATGTAAGGCAAGGCGGCTAAATCCAAATGAGAGGAGTTTGATGGGTGTGTGAACAGAAGAAAGGAAAACAGTGAGAAAGGTAAGGGATGCCTGCATCTACTCAACTCAATGAGAGAACACGTGGCTTAAGATCTTTTGTGTGAAGAACAGCTACATGCTGTATGTGATGATTTCATGTTTGGTTAAATATTAGACACTATTGCTCTTAAAATATAAATCACAAATATACCCAGAATTATTCACATCAGGTAAGATAATCCTTAATGTACAGCTTTATTGCCCCATGTCTGACTTAGGGTTGTGGTTGTGGGTTAGCTAGTGGCTCATTCATATAATATGTATAAAGGCCATGTCTGGCATAGGGTTGTGGTTATGGGTTAGCCAGTGGCTCATTCATATGCTATATAAGAAACCTTATTAGACAGTGCAGGTCTTTCACATTGTCGTTAGGCTCCTTTTACTTTTACTGGGGCACGTGGCCCAGTAAAATCATATGTTTGAGTTTTAACAAGTTCCTGTGTTTTGCAGTGGATTAATTTAGACTGAAACAAGCTGATTTGTTCTAATTCAGTTGTCTGCATTGTTTACTGTCTGTTTATACTGATTTTTCTGCATTGTTTGCACTGTTTGTTGATGTTAATACTGCTATTTTGTTATATTACACAGCCTTATGCTGGTTTACTGTTTGCACATTGAGAGCCGATGTACCTGAGTCAAATTCCTCGTGTGTCCGTCACACCTGGCCAATAAAGCTGATTCTGATTTTTATTCTGATTCAGAAAGTCAAAGTAAAATATTGGCACACAAAACTAAAAAAAGGAATGGACTGAGGTATGTGACAGGGACTAGGCCACTCCATAAGGCAGATTTTGTGCCTCTGAAGGCATTGTGTAGTAGATTTACTTCGATGTTCAGGGTCATTGTCTTGCTGCATCACCCGGCTTGTTCTGAGCTTCAGCTTGTGCACAGCCACCCTGACATTATCTTGAAGGACACCTTGATAAACTTGGGAAATAATTTTCCCCTCCACAGTGCCAAGCAGTCCAGGTCCAGAGGCAGAAAAGCAGCCCCAAATCCTGATGCATACTTCACTGTAGGCATGATGTTTTCATGTTGGTACACGGTTCTCTACACCATACATAGTGGCTTCTTCTGTGGTGTCCTGGCATGGGTACCATGCCTGTTCAATATTTTGCATATGGCCGACTCATGAACAGAGAGGTTAACCAACTCCAATGAATCCTTCAAGTCTTTAGCTATTACTCTAGGGTTCTTTTTCACCTCGTTGGCCATTCTGCATTGTGCCTTTGGACTGATCTTGTCTGGGCACCCACTTCTATGGAAAGCAGCCGCAGTACCAAATTGTCTCTATTTACAGACATTACGTGTGGACTGATGAATATCTAAAGTCTTTGACATGACTCTGTAACCCTTTCCAGCTACATGCAAATCAACAACTCTCGATTGTGGGTTGTCTGAGATGTCTTTGTTTGCGAGGCATGGCTCATCAGCTGATGCTGTTTGTGAATAGCACACTGACACTGCTGAAGTCAAGGTAGTTCTAAACCTACACCTCCACTCTTGATTCATTGATTGGACTCCAGTTTTGCTAACATCTGGCTCCGGTTGACGTTTAGTAACATCAGAAGCCTTGTGTTGCCATTACTTTTTCCACCATCACTGCCTGTTCAATGTGCATGCTCAATAAAGGCATGAAAGATCATGACACTGTGTTTTATAAGCTTAGAAATACTGTGCCTGTTGGTATTTGTGACTGGTGAAGATCAGATCACATTTCATGACCAATTTATGCTGAAAACCAGGGAAATGCAAACAGTGCCATTATTTTTTTTTCTTGCAACTATATACAGAAGTATAGTATAGCAGAAGAATAGATGCACAGCAGTACAGACTGTGTATCACATTTCATTCATGCAGCAGACATTCAAGAAAAATAATCGCATGATTTAAATAATGGGGGCCCTGTGCCCCCAGTAGAGCTTTATGTCTAGCAACGCTCCTGGTCATTCATCATACTCACCTTGGCTGTTCTCTTCCAACTCAGGTGACATGTTGTTAGATAGCAGCAGAAAACTTATAATAAATTCCAAAAATCAAACTGGCTGTTGGTTTTGCCAGGGGTTGATGAAGTTTCAAAAATGTGCCAGGCTACCAAGGCACCCTGTGGGCTCAGAGAGGCAGACAGAGATGTAGCCACAGCTTTGCAGTGTTCCAGATGTCTTTCTTGTTATCTGAGTTTTTATTTTGCCTTCTTGGAATAAAAAAAAAATCAGTTTTTATGATTATCACACGTTGGAACCCCTCAGCTGAGCCAAGAGATGGAAAATTTTGTAAAACGCCGCGGTCAGTTCAGCCTTTGACGGAGGAGACTCAAAAGCAGTCGACGAAGCACTTGAAGGTAAGCCTGAAGAATCTCATGGATGACAGTTAAATGAAAATGATACTGCGCCTTAGAGTGACGATTATTTTTTAAAAACCCAGTCAAAAGCCCATTAACCTGTACGTGATGCAGCGGGAACAACGAAGAATGTGATCCGCTCCACGATCGGTCAGCTATGACGGACGCTGCCTCCTCCCCTTCCCGCTGCTGGTGGACCGTGATTGGATGAATCCGGGCCAGTGCGGCGCAAACAGCATCAGCAGCACCGGTCACTCACAACGAGTCACACGGATGGGTTTATTACACCGCACGCGTCCTTGACCTGAAATCGTACAGATAACTGCAAACACGCATATGAGAAAATGTCTCCCAGTTCACAGGCAGTTAACCCCCCAGCCGTTTAGTGTCTTTATACAGAAGCTGTTATGCGTCTGGTAATTCAGTAAATGATTTGGATAATTCAGGCACGTCAGGGCCATTTTTCCTTTGTAGTTGTTTTTGGGTCTCTAGGATGGTTTTGCATCTCTGTGGTAATTTTGTAACTGTGTGGTCATTTTGAGCCTGTGATTGTTTTTGCAATTTGAATTTTAGCTGCGTACTATTATTTCCAAACAATAAATACTAACTGTCTCCTCATACGGAGGCTCTGGCATAGGCCCCCCTGACAAAATCTAATCTAAATATGACTGAATCTAATGCACTGAAAACGGGTGTTGACAGGTTGCTTGTCTAGCAGTTGTAAATGAGACCACAATTACACCAGTTTCTGAACAGCTCACAAAGATTTTAGCTATGCATTTGGATTTTGGTGACATCTAGTGAACATAGTTTGTATCAACAGGGCTGAATGAATGATAGCACAACACAACTAATAAAACATAGCCTTATATATTTCATAACATAAAACAAATACAGTGACAAATTCAGTGCAACATCAAGCTGTAATAAATATGCATTCAGTCAACTTACAACTGGTGGTAATAAATAACACTCAAATAAATAAATACTCTTAGACAATTTTTTGAGTTGTGAGGACAATAAACACAAAATTTGGAATATCGCAGACCTGCGTTTGAACCACACCTGAAGGACTGACCTCTCACAGAGATCATACTGTCCAGTGTAGAACAGTGGTGCATTTGCAGTAGGTGTGACAAACCCATTCATTAGCACTTCACATTAAAAGCTCATCAAATCTAGAAACTAAACTCATAAATGACATCAGAAAAAAATCCATCTGGAACACCACTCACAGATGAATATTGTGATATGGCTTAAAACACAAAAGCTTTAATTCTCTAACAAAAAACAAACAAACAAACAAAAAAAAACAGACCTGTAACAAGAGGCAGATTCCTAGTAAACCAAAATGTAAAGCAGGTAAGCAGACTTCTCTCTTAGCAATCACTGCATCTCTTCTCACTCACATTACTCTCTTCACAGACATTTGTTATTCTGAATAAGTGATTTTTTTCTTTAAGGCATGAATGGCATCTACTTTGTTAAACACATACAGTATACTGTACATATTTATTAGGTATGCATTGTGAATGAATTGTGAGGAAAACAATGCATCTGCCCACCAATATTAATATCTATATTAAAATAAAACTTTACCAATGACCTTGACTCCTATATTAAGTAATTGTAGACTTCCAAGAAGTGATTTGAGAGCTATACCGTATACTGCAAGACAGATTTACTGGAAGGACCTGGAATGCTATTTTGTGCAATTTTCGTTACAGCAGCCTCTGACACTGTGGAAAGGTCTGTCAGGCCTCACTGACTTCAAAGATGCGAAACTGACTCAGTTTTAAAATTATGTCACTTTGTCATTAGAAAGGCCTGGCTATAGATCCTGGTGGAGGTCACTATGAGAGAGGGGCTGGTAATGCTCCTCCATGTTCGACTTAGCTCGATGCCGCTGAGTAACTAGTCTCTGGTAGTGGGCCTGTATCTGGTGGTCTGGATCCACATTTACCCAGTTGTTGGCCACCCACTTCACCCTGTGCCCGACAGGGCAGTCACCATGCAGGGAATACTCGTCAAGCTCACCCATCCAACCTAGGGAATCATTTCAGACCAAACATTTATTACAGTCATAGGAGATTGAATGAGTTACAGCAAAAGAATAAACCAAAGTGGAAAGAGAAAATGATAATAAAAAAATAGAAGACAGAAAGGGAGAGAAAAAGGCAGAAAAATGTGAAAGATAAAATCATTGTATTGGAATATTTGCTCCGCTGTAGGCTCTAAATTAGTATACTGTATGTGTGCACGACACAGCTAAAGCCTTTTGTTCGTACCTCTGCCATCAGAGAGGTGGTTGTACCAGAGGAGAGCTGTCCCAACAGTAGGTTTTATTCTCAGGTTCCCCCTGTCACATGTTTCCTGGGTGTCTGTCAAATCAACCCCATCCTGGACCAGGGCCTAGGAGACACAAAACTGTAAACAGCTTGCATCTAATCATTTATTTGGGCACTCTGTGTTCACAAAGGTGTCAGATTCCTTGTCATGGACCTGCATTGTCTCCATCTTATCGGCGAGCTTCAGGTCATGTACAGTTCTCATCCTTTTTACAGAAGCAAAAAGAAAAGAAGATTAGCTGGTATATGACTGTGGGTTAAAAACACTCACCTGCTCTTCATAGGTGCGATTGTCTGCCACAGGAAAGCTGGTCTCCCCACCTTCCTCTACAGAGCTGAGGTAGAATAACACGGTAAGATACCTGCGATACAACAAGCAAGGAAGTGATAGAAATAGTGAAAAACAAGCCAATACCCAAAAGGGACATTAGAGTGGTCAAATGAAAGGCTAAGCTGGAGATGATTACCTGCAAGAGACCTCTGTGAGAGCAGATGTGTTCGCTGCCAGTCGTGTGTGCGCACAGCTAGTGTCTGGATGAGAAGGGCTGCTATCATAGTGGGCGTTACTGAAGTCTCCGTGTTCATAGCGAATCACCTGCAGCGGCTCACTCAGCTCAACCAGTGAGGAGGGCAGACGTGTCAGGCTGATTACTCTGAGTAAAAGACAAAAGAGAGCAACACAGAAGTATATTATCAATTATGAGTGTATGGGTTACTACTGCAAGAGTGTGACAAAGTGTGTGTAGACAGTCACCTGGTCCTGAGCGTGTTTAACACATAGTGGGATCCTAGGCCTTGGTAAAGCCATGTATGTTTACTCCTCTGCTTGAACTGACTCCAGAGCATCCCAGTTCGCTGTTTTCCTGGGTGTTGGGACACATCATAAACCCGCCTAAAGTTCTCCAAAGTCAACATCCCTAGTAGGCGTACAGAAATACAGTTAAATACAACTTTATGAAATAAATAAGTATAAAAATACAACCTCATAGTTACAGATATGAACGCAGCACTGTGAAATTATTAAACCAGTGTTTCATTCTGGCTCAGTTTAATTTAATCTTGAATTCTGGACCATCATAACCACCTCTCTGCCAATTACTGTACTTAACAGTGCACAACCACTGCAGAATCACTCACACACACAAGAACAGGACTGAACTTTAGTGATGCTCTTCTCTATATGGGATCAGTCATAACAGTCTAAAATCTAGTGACACATGCAAACCAAACAGGAGCACAAACCTGTTGGGCAGGCTTCCAGACCAGTGAGTATCTGCCGCAAGTTGTCTGGGCTCAACCAAGTTCCATCTCGAGAATGTGAGTGACTCACAATCTACAGGAGAGACCAGAATGTTTTTCTTGTGTCAACAAAAAAAGCATGAAAGTTCATCTGATTTTTCTCTCTTATCACCTCCTGCCTCTGCAGCAGGCCGTCCTGGTTCAGGTCCAACAGACTGAAGACCTCCTCTGCGCTGAGAGACAGTACAGGCTGGTATGACTCCTCTTGCCCCTGGCTGGCTGCACTTGTCTTGGTCTCCATTAGACCCTTGAGCTGAGCTAGCTGCACCACCACGCGGCACTCCTCCTCTGACAGGAAGCCAGGGATCTCTGACAGGAACAAGAAAAAGACGACAATGGCAAATGTTAGGACACACTCTAGCCTTGTATGTGTTATTAGATGTTGGCAACACCTATCACAGATTCTAATTTGAAAAAAGGGACAAATACTTTATATTTCACATAACGATCCAAATCATCTCATGCACAAAGTTAGTTTTTCCATTGCAAATGTGGATGTCTGGTCATTTGATGAGCAGGAGATCACACCTCCCTGCTGGAATGTGATCTACACCGGGTGTCTGTGTGTGTGTGTGTGTGTGATGTTAATTTGTATGTTAAACTGGCCAGGTGGTCATCTCAGGATGTTGGGCCCCCGGTCTCTGCAGGACATCCCAAGATAAAGCAGAACTTGTAATATGTTAAGTGGGTCTGTGTGTGAGTGCAAAACAAGCCGACTTGTCTTTGTTAAAATGTGAATTGGCTGTCTGGTCGCGGAGAGGTGCAGACATCAAAGGCAGCTGGAGACGGTATGCGAGTTGTTAGATGTGAGACAACGGTATGAGTTTTATAGATGTGTATTGTATCACTTTGGTATAAAGGGACTGCCCCTTTACCAGTCAGGCAGAGAACTCTGCGTGACTGCAAGGCTGTGTATCACTTCTCTCCATGCTGCATGAAATAAAGAATTCTTCGAAGCTACTCCCGGTCTCCAGACTTCTTTATTGGGTCCTGCCCGTTCCCACTACCACACAAATGATATGTAGTCTGTTGAGTCTATATTTCCTCCAGAGAAGACTAAAAATGTTTATCAATCAAATTATGCAATTAATCAATCGACCAAAATCAGTCAATTTATTTAGCTGCTGACGTTTGAAAGCACAAATTCACTGCCACACTCATGACTTTGCCAAAAGCACAATTACGGAAATGAAAGGTCTATATTATCATAATCCTCACCAACCTAAGGTTAGGGGGAGGATCAAGGATCTATGATCTATCAAGGAGGTTGGCTTGGAGATCAGGAAAAACTAACAAAAATGCTCAAAATGTCTGAGATTCTGGGTTTGTTCATAGATTAACTGTTGTGCACATTTGCACGTGATGATTTGATAAAAAGAAGGCTACTACCTGTCAGTGAAACTTTCTTTTTAACCGCGGACTGTTGCCACTAGTTAATGATATCTATGCCATCACATAAACATTCAATAAAAACTTCTGAAGTCTGAAAGTCCTGCTCTCAACCTCTGCATTCAAATAAGCCACATGAAACTTTATTGCAGATGTAAGATGGTGAGTGAGTGATTGTCCTTTAAGTGGATTAGATCTCTGTTAACAGTGCTGGCTGGATCAAACTACTAAATAGATTACTCTAGATTGCATAACAAAGCCCTTCAGTGTGAAGGGGCAATTCTGAGATTGTTTGATCAGTGGATGCTAATATTTGTATGATCAGGATGTTTAGACCCTATAGGAGAAACAAATCCCTATAAAATTCTTTATATGAGAAGCAAAACTGTGGGCTGAAATAGACTCAGACTGAGCAAACTGTTTTCAACAGCTTATATTTTATTTGTATTCTAAAATAAACTCACATAGATACTTAAGAGTATAATATAAGGACTTTTCAAATCAAATTATAATGAACTGAGGCAAAAGGAAACTAGAGCATATACCCTGGTGCTAATGAATAAAACTTCCCTTTTTTGTGTATTATAGTTGTTTAAGGAACTCTTTTGTGGCAGACTGTGAATATAATGAGTACAAGCTATTCCCCGCTGTCACACCACCGAGAGTCATTTGTGGTGTAGCCTATCCCACTGGCAAGTTTAATGAGTGACAACAATGGACGTCTCCCAGAGGGGGGTAGAAACAGTGCAGACTTCTGGGATTCAATAATTGTTGATATCAATTAGTATGGTGTATTAATAGAAGAACAGAGTCAGAATTAGGTAATTTCATCCTCATTTACAGCTACTTATTAGCTGACAATGTTATTTCAAGTCACTCAACATGACAACAGGCAATCACTTTTCTTATTTGGTCTCTGAGCTTTGAGATCTGTCCCTGTACCATTTCAAGGTCCACCAAGGTTTCCTAAAAGAAGAATCCTATTTTATGAATTCTACAGACAGGTTTATTGAATTTATTAAGGCAATAGTGTTTCACGGTTCCTTCTCTTGTTCTCTTCCAGCAGTCCATCCAGAACTGCGAGGTTGGCTGCCTGTACAGTAAAGGCCTTGTTTGTCACCTGTGTCTTTTACACTGTACCCACTTGGTTAATCCCTACTGTCTAGTCAAGCCTCATTAATCTGGATAACTGAGATGAATGAAGGCCTCTCTCTCTTTTCCCTCCCACCGTCTCCCTTTCTCCCCTGGAAAGGAAGTGGCCTCCTTGTCTGAACAGGAATCAGGCCATGGCTACACAGCAGGACAACACCAATTTTATTTGTGTTCTAAGCACATATTCACACACACACACACACACACACACACACACACACACACACACACACAATTGCACAAGCAGAAGACACTAAAGCTGCAACAAACTTTTATTTTCAAAATTGATTAATTTGCCGTTTTTGCTCTATGAGATAATCTATCTATGCTCAGAAAAAAAATTGAGTTGCAAATGTGCACTGTCCTGGTCATTACTTTGTTTTGTCTGACCAGTCAAACCTCCCAAAACTCTACAGTTAACTGTAATGCAGGACAATGAGAAGCAGCAAATCCTCACAGCGTAGGAGAAACAACCTGTGAATTCTGTGTAATGTCTTAACAAGTAACTGATTATCAATTATGTTGTTGATTATCTTCTGTTGAAGTGTTACAGTACTACAAGGACCTGGACAGTTGTCTCCACTTTAATATAAACATCTTCATTCTCCTTCCCTCTCTGCAGCAGCGGTGGATTAGAAAAACAAGTGCAAAAAGCAAAGAGGTCGTGATGGGACAATGTAGTTAAGAGTGGGTTGGAGGAAAATGTAGGATGAAAAGGTTGGAGGAGTTTATACATAAAAGCCAGCCTGAGCCTTAGTTCAAGCTGTGGGAATGGAAATGGCAGGAATCCAAAAGTATCCAAATGCCAATATCATCCACCTTCTCATCTCAAGCTCTGGTAAACAACCACATTTTCTCATAAATGAAGGTGGATCTTGAGTGCCCCACCTCTTCTCCCCAGTTTTCTCTACACCTCCCCTTGCCCCTTCCTATGCAAATGTCATCACCACCCACAATAAATACACCTATTCTGCCATTCTGTCATACAGGGGTCTTCCTTCTTTCAAGAGACACACTTAACACACTTTCTCTCTCTCTCCAACCTCTGTCCCAGGATGACTTCAGTGCTCTGTCCTCATTTTAGCTCCAAAAGGTCTTCCCATTCAATCTCTGTACTAGTTCGCCTTCTGTTTGCTATGTCTACCAGCACAATAACACTTGGTCCTAGTGCTGGTAGAGTAAGGGCAGGGCTGGAGGGGCAAGCAAAAGCTGAGGGTAGGGTTAGATCTGGAGAAAAAAACAAGAGCAGAGACAGGACACGTATTGAGGGCAACACTGAAACTGGATTTGGAGATACTCGTGTTTCAAGACCAGGAGCTGCAGCAGGAAATGGTGGTGAGATGCTTGGGGACCCTGATAGTACTACTGGCTCCAGGTCTATGCTTTCTATAGGAGAAGGTGAACAGAGGGAGCCCCGCAGTTTCTCTTGCTGTGTTCCAATCCCATCCGGCATGGCCTTGTGCAAAAACATTGGCTACAACACCATGAGGATGCCCAACCTGCTGGGCCATGAGTCTCCAGCTGATACTATACAACAGAGTGCCAGCTGGTTGCCACTACTTGCCAGAGAGTGTCACCCCGATGCCCGCATCTTTCTCTGCTCTCTCTTTGCACCAGTGACGTGCGGTGAGGTTGACAGCTGGTGAGGCACTAACTCTTTTACAGTCAGATTTACAAATACAAATGAACCGTTAACAAATTGTCTGTTAACAGACAGTGTGTTATGTTTTATATCTCATATCAGCATTCTTCACACAAACATGACCCATATTTAATTTGAGGTTAAAATTTATTCCAGTTGAGCTTATTTCTAACTAGAAATAATAAAAGTTTATGGTCTTACCTTTACTTGTACACGAAATCCATTTGTCAGCTGGTATGTATTACAAACCCTTTTACCGTTCGAATCCAATATTAAAACAAATGTTTTCAATAAAGAAGATCCTTCTGGACAAAAATGTCCAGACTGTCAAAAATGTTTTGATTGAAAGTCCAGATTTGCGAATTTTCTCAGCTTGGAAATGTAATCTTCCATTTTGATAAGGCGGATTGTAAAGGAAATATAAACAAGCACGAAGAAGATTGTAGGTAGCGCAAGAATCTGTGGGCTCACTAGCGCCCTCTGCCTTGAGGCAGGCGTACTGTTTGCCTCACCGAGTAACTTTTTTACTGGGTTTTATGGTTAATCTGGAGCCTAAACACGTTACAGAACTACATTTTATACATTATCCAGATTATGGCAAGGCAGAGCATATAATCAGAGTGTTTGAAAGCATTTTATTTGCGATATATAGAGGGACAGCGACACACTATTTGCATCGCATACAGTTTGTGAGGATCACATGATCCACCGAGAGGCACAGCAAAGTGCTGCCTCATTAACTTTTTTTTCTTTTCAAGATTGACAGGGGAGGCTCTGCCTCACCTGCCTCCCCTGGCCGCACGTCACTGCTTTACACCCATCTGCCTTGACAGGTAAGGTTCCAAAAAAAGCTTATTTTCCTATTAGCGTAATACTGTCAAACCTTTTCAAGCCACAATTTTGTAGAAATAGTGATTTTTACAGGATAGTATTGCCAAAGTTTTCATTTAGAAATGCACTTACAGTAATACAGTAGTAGTAGCGTAGCCAGGATCCCTGTGTAAAATCAGTTATAGTAGGTAAAGAATGACCAGGAACAGCCAACTTTGCTAATCAGAAAAAAATGATTAAGATGTTAGATGAAGTTATAAAGGAATGGGGCCTTCAAGGGTTAACATCTGTTTGAAAGCTATACAAATTGCTGCTAGTGTCTGAGGAAAGGACCTGGTTTCACACAGAAGCCATGCCATCAAAGCCCTGTAACGTCCTTTTGTCACATTAGCAACTCTCATGTGAGAAAGAGAACAACGAGCAACCAAATGCAATCTAATTCAGTTCTCTGCCACTACACTACTGCTCTAAATCCTTTCATCTATTCAGTGCTGCCCATGTTCCCTGTCCATCTCTTCTTTAACAGGGTTATATCACCCTGCAGGAGTTTATGTGAGTCTGTACAGGACAGCTGTGCACCAATCATGAGTTGCTATGGCTACCCCTGGCCAGACATTCTGCACTGTGACCAGTATCCTGTAGACCATCTCATGTGTATCTCCTCCATTACAAACACCACTGCTCACACCGGGGGGAGTAGAGGTAAGAAAGTGACTACACAGACACTTATACTTGACCACATTTGACAAACAATTTAATTAGTGATTTGAATATTTTAGTGCCCCAGGCAAGCTGTCGGGATTGTGAGCTAGAAGAGGCATCCTCTTCAAAAGAGACATTGGAGACCTTCTGTAGAAATGATTTCGGTTGGTATCAGTATCCCTCCATCCTCCTACTGTATCTGGTCATATCCTTGATTATATATTTTACAAGTTCTTCATAAATTCTGTACAACAAAAACAAGAGGACACAGTCCATAGGTGATGACAATCACATTTTGTGTTTGTCTGCTCTCTTTCCCAGTTGTGAAACTGCGTCTAACACGGCTCGAGTATAGTCCAGTGAGTCTGTCTCGGTTCTCGCTGACTGTCAAACTGGATGTTCTCAAGCATGGACCCCTGCTGGGTGGGCAGATCCGCTCCCGCATCGAGCTGTGGTTAGAGAGGGATGCCACATGTGTAAAGAACATGACACGGCACCACCCAGAAGGCGGCACCTTCCTGGTGACAGGCAAAGTGCAGGGGGAGCATTTGGTGATCAATAAGGCTTATGCCTGGCAAAAGCGAGACAAGAACCTGATGGCAGCAGCACGCAAATGGAAACATCACAGATGCAGAAGCTAGGATTATGGGTTCTGAGAGAAAATCAAAAGAACTAAATTATTGCTGGGAGCTAGGGATTGCATTTAAAATAATTAAGTCTACAACTGTAAAATCAAAATTTCAAATCATGTTCAAGCATTTGTGGTTACAGAAAAGATTATATGCAGGAAGCGGGTGACATAGGAGCTCAGAGTATCAACACTGTCCCTGAGACTGTGGAGGTCAAAGATATGAAAGGTCTTTAACAGAAAATGTGCATATCTGAGAATTTTAATTAAATAAGGCTGGTCTATATTCATTCGGCTTTGCAAATTATTAATTTTGTACTCTAAATTCTGATCAAATACCATAAATTCATGGATATCTGTAAAGACTACAGTGTACTTACCAAACAGCAGAGGTTTCAAGC